CCTTCTTGCTATGAAGGGTACCCTCCTCAGCACCCTCCTCATTCAAATATACAAGTTGCAATAGGTTTGTGACAGTCTCACTATTTTAGTCACACACACACACTGGTTGCCTATTCCTAGAGTAGCACTGCAACAAAATGCAGACTTTGTCCTTTTCCCCCACTTGACTTCATGGTCTTTAGCTAAGTTTCCTCAGTCTATTTCAGTCTACAATTCCATTTAATTAATCGAGTGGTTATTTTTTAAACACAGAGTACAGCATTACATAGAAAATAAAACAAGCTTAATTCTATTTTATATCTGACATCAGTTCTACAAACTTATAAACAAAACAGTCCAACTATACCACATACAACAATATGCACAGCTAATATTATCTATTTTTTTCATGTACAGAATTTATAAAAGTTTCATGGTATCAAGTTCTCCAAAAACACTTTCTAATAAACCAACACAAACTTTCACCAAAGTATTTGCCAAGAAAACCTACCTTCAGGTCCATTTCAATTTATAAAGCTCTGTCCAGTCTGATGAAACAACCTGTTATTGGGGACACACATCAACAAACATTAAAAGCACAGGTTTTGGAATTAGAGACTTGGGCCCAATTCTCGTACCCCATTAACTATTAGTGGGATCTCACAAGAGTTTTTATGTCACTAAGCCTGAGTTTTTTCATAGGATCTTGCTAGAATCAGATAATCTAATACTGGTAAAGTGTTTATCACCGTGATGGTACGTCAGGAGGGCTTTAAAAGCAGTACTTAATACTAGCAGCTGTCTATAATTTCCACTTTTTACTTAGTTGAAATCAAAGATGAAATACTTTCCATTTATTATTAAAAGCCAAAAATATAATCCTACATCAAGATTGTCATATCCCCAGTAATGCAGTGCAAAATTTATGGAGTTCATTTAAGACTTTCTTTGAAGACACTTAAGTGATCATTAAGCACATTCATCTGAGATTTACTGAGTGCCTACACCCACCACATACCAGACATTGTGCTGAGGAATTTATTCAAGAATCACAACTACAGAAAGAATCCTGACTTAGAATTTTAATTTTCCCACACTGCAAGAATTCTTATATGTGTTATATATATTTGAACTATACCGTTATTAAAATACTGAAATTTGACAATTTCATTAACTTACTGAAAAATATACAAGTTTATTTTGAGCCTCTTCAAGCATAATTTTAAAGCCATTTTTGCGTGGTTCGCTTGAGGTCAGCTTAGGTACTAATACTGAGGGATCAAATTACTTAAGTGACACATTTACAGATTTGTCATTTCTAAAATTATTAAATGCATGGGGTTTCAAGACATTCTAGCTGTTTGTGTTCTTCTGGGAGCTAGTTTCATGGCCAATCTATCAACCTGTTAAATTCTGTCATTCTTTTGTCTTCTCTACCTTCTGGCTAAATAATTGATTTGGTATAGGAAAGGCATGCAAAGGAAAACATTTTTTTAAAATTGTAGATTTGAATTTATCTAACCGTGTTACCCACTTATGTAAAACTTTCACTGAGATTGTGTGTGGGGAGGGGGTGTATTTTCTTTTACATGGACACATTCCAGAGTAGCAGCCATCACCTTCCCTGCTCCCCTTCCTACCAAAAGTTGTTATCGGCAAATATAAAGCCAACAAAAATATGCAAAACTCCACATTGTGATGCTTCATGTATTATCTTTACCTTCAGTTTGCCATATTATATAGTCTTTTACTTAAGTGAATGAGGTACAAAATAAATGACACATTTTTTAAGTGGAAAATTACATCAATTTGCAACATAGAATATAAAAAGGCTTAGGATCCAGAACCTAGGTCCAACTCCTGGCTCTGCCACTTCCTACCAGTAACCTCAGGCAACACTGGTATAATAATGGTTAACCTCATAGAGCCAATGACAACTGAATACATACACATAAAGCACTCAGAATAGTTCCTGGCACATGGTAAGCACTTAAATCTTATTGTTTAACATTTCACATTATTTCTGCTTTGGGGACTAGAAATAATTTATAATAATTTTGCTAACCTAAAATGTTTTAACATCCATACTAATAAAATGCAAAATACTTATTGACTATGCACCATATATACAGTAAAATACATGATTTACAATCAATGTGTAACAGCTTTCCTTCCAAGATTGAGCCAATCTAATAGTGTACATCATATAATTTATAAACAATCAGGCTACAGAATTTGAGTCTTACAGCACACAGGCAAAGAGAAAATCCTATTAATATTAGTTGGTTATTCAAAGTATTTAAAACTGTAAACATTATTTTCCAAATCGAGGAACTAAATAATATTTAGAAACCTAAGATGATGCCAGTGTACTAGTCTCTCAGAGATGTAGGCATAATCTTAAGATCACTGGTTCTCACCTAAGTCATTCCTGCGAACCAACATGCTGGGTGAACACAACGCCAACAGTGCTTCACCATGACAAGGACTCTTGTTGAGAAGGCTTATCAGCAGCATCCCGGGGGTTTGGCAGTGGCATATGTCTATGTTTACAATGCTACACAGGTCACTCTAGTATACCCTTTAGAAAGGAACATTCCCCTTCCCCCGTTCCCTTTTTAAATTCACTGACATAAAGAATCCTTGCAATCACAACCACTTTTTATTTTGTGAGGCTGTGTGTTCCCTAATTGCAATGGATTTTCAATCTTTAAATAGTATAACAATTCAAAATAAACACTGTCCTGGATTTGAAAATGATAGCAGATAATTACAATTTAACAATTACTGAACAGAGATTACATCATTTTTTGCAGTTGGAAAACTATATATCCACCCTCCTTAAAATTCAAGTAAGTCTCCAAAATTTATTCACACCTACAGGATTGAATGGTTAGGATGCATCATTCTTTCAAATTAAAGCATCAAAAACTGAGAAAAACACCATCAATGACCTACTGCTGAAAAGAAGGCAATGTCAAATGTATATGGTTATGAGCTTTATGCTTTCATACTTATAGTGCTAAAACATATGTTTTGGTGACCTAATTTTGTTCTTCAATGCAGCATCATCAGCATTCCCCAACCATTCAACTCAACTGCAACTCAGAAATGCGTTTTAACATATTTATAAGCATTTAGAAGCATAAGTATCAAACCTGTCCTCCAAAACTAACTAGTATGTCCCTAAACTCTAGTTCTGCTTTGTACAGCCACACTTGAGATAATGACATAAATTAAACTTTAAGTTTAAACTAATTTTTAAGGGTTTAAATTAGTACTTAAATTCTGTTTTAATGTCTCATTTAGGAGATTTCAAATAAAGTTTATTAACTGGACAATCTGAGCTGTCCTATTTCCCAAGGTGTTATATATCATTTAATTGGGAATTGAGAGCAATAAAATTCTCACACCTGAAATAACACTATCTTCCTATAGATAAACAGCTTACCATTACAGAAAATTCCAATTATGTAAAAATCTGAAGTGAAACCCTTCAAGCTTTCCATGTTACAACTGACTTACTAATGCTCAAGCATGGTAAAAGTGTCCTGAGAGTAATGTTCATGATATTTTTCATTGGCATCTTAACTGCATCATGTAAAAGTGGAAAATGTAGAGATTAAGAGCATAAGGCTTATAATTCTACAGTACAGATGGAGACAAAATTAAATGCAATAAAAGCATATTTGCAAGTCTAAAAGTAAAATTATAACCCAAGACGCATGGGGAAAAATATTTATGTGGAGTTTTTAATCCATATTAGAATTCAGTTGTTGTAACTTGACCATAAACTTAAACAGAAACCATCTTCTGAGACATACATTCTAATAAATGTATCGACAGTATTGATAGTCAACGAAGGGTCAGTTATTTGAACTTAATGTTAACATTTCATTTTTCTATCCAACAGAAATCTATAGTGGTTTGCCCCAATTACATATCTGAAACATTGTCTTATGAAAACGAAATGAAACAAAATTAAATAAAATTGAAGATAAAAATATTCTGGAAGCACAGGATAACTTACAGGCATCTTCAGCACAAAGCACATCTTTGAAAACGTGAAATGATGACTCTTTGGAGGACAATAGCTAAATATCCAAGAATCATCAGGTTTGAAAAATATTGCTTAATCACTTTCCAAAACACAGTTAGCCGTAAGAACTGAAGATTTCGTTAAAACTATCAAGGTAATCATATTTATTGCATCTTTAGATTGCATTTTGAAACAGAAAATTAATAGTGCACCACAGCTTCACCAAAATATATATTTAATGAGGGGGACCCTACGATATTTATAAACAAAGTGTAGACTGTATGTGCTTTTCAAAGGGGCTGAATTAAACATAACCAGCTGCCAACTTTGTGCTCTGACATACTTGAATTAGTGGGTATGTGTATACTAAATTCATTTATTTCTGTCTACAATAAATGAAATAAAAACATCACCCTATACAATCCACTATTAGCAGTGAGTACAACAGCAAAAAATTATTGTACAATTTATACATACTAAAATATTTTCTTTCTCTAGAAATAACTCAGAACAAAACCTAATCATTATAAGACTTAATCTGGGAAATCTCGAATTACAATAGGGAAAAACCAAATGAGGGTATGTACTGAGCCCAAAACAAAGGTTCTTGGTCATAAGGCTATAAGATTAGTAAGTGCAAGTGGTAGAATAAAGCATGCTCAAATTGTATGCTTGGGTCTTTGTATATTTACCAAACCTTTAAATTAAACAAGACTAGCTAAAGAAAATGCCTTAAGCAGAGCACGATAATTGGGAATTCTGCATTTCTTTTGCCATTTTTTTTTTTTACCCAACTTACACAATGCGCAAAGTGCTAAGCAACACTACAGAAACACATTTACATCAACACTGAAGACCTGGGGAAATGAAATCCAACAATTTTATTTTAATGAGCTGTATTTTCTAAATTTCTGTTTTATTTTTTCCTGTTTTCATACAGTATTGAAAACAAAACGCGGCACATTCACATTTTCCCGAGGAACTGTAAAGATGATCTCTACAGGGATAAACGTTGTAAAGCCTGAAGCTCAATCAACTGATGTTGAAAACTCTCAAAGGGAGTAAAGGCTTGATCTGAATGGTCTAGAACATGTACTGTAATTTAATAGAAGAGATGGTCGTCTTAATATTTAATGATTTAAAAGAACTTCCCAGTCCATGCGAAGAGTACAGTCCAAGAATAAATCAAATTTCTGAACGCATTTTATGCTACATATGTGTATACTTTGCGATCCTCAGGTGTTCGTGCCAAATATTCTCTCTCAATAAGTCCTTCAATACGTTTCTTAATAACAACTGGACTTGGTAAGAATCGAGCCTTCAATTGTTGAGTTACCTAAAAAGGAAGGCAGAAAGACTAATTCCTAACATTTCCACATAAACACACAAAAATTAAAATTCCTACCTTTGAATAGAACTGATGTGTCATTTTAAGACACAGAGATAAAACTTCAGTAACTAGATTACCAGTTATGCTAAAGATTAATTGAACTAGTAGAATATATGGGTATAAATATACACCTAAATATACACCACCTAATAATTTAACCATGTTGCTGCTGTCATCTACTGACTTGTGGGTTACTCACCCAATTCACACAACTTGGGTAGCATAGTATGTTTAAGGAGCACAAACTCTGGACCCAGACTGCCTGGATTCAAATCCCAGCTCTACCACTTCCTAACTCTGAGACCTTGGGAAGTTGGTGTGTACATTAAATGAGTTAATAGATGTAATGCCTCAGAATAATGCCTATCCATAGTGAGTGCTACTGTTGTCATTCTTTTCTCCAAATGCTGTCAGAATCCTAACTATTGTGATATCAGTAATAATTAAACATAACAATAGCAGCAGCCACAGTATGATTGTACTATTTAACAATCATTTTTCATATCTTAACTTATTTAATGCTCTTTAATCTTGCAAAGTACATTGTCTCATTTTACAAATGAGGAAAAGAAGCCAGAGAGGAAAAATTAGATGAACAAGTACTAAAAAAAACAGAACCAGCAGAGATGCATCTAAACCCTTCTGGTCTCAAAGTCCATGTTCTTTCCACTAATCCACCCTGCCGCTCTTGCAGATGATCCATCCATCCGTGAGCCAGCTTTTCTTTTACTCTTGTTTATCAGTTCATTTCCCAAAGCCACAATGGATTGATAATTCTTTGAAATCTGAAACTTCAGCATTTCACTCCGCAACTAAAATCTACCATGCTTCCAGGATTACCAGTCCACTATCGACTAGGTTGCTCTCCACCCACCACCTGGGATCTCTCATCCTTTGATGCTTTTTCCCAGGCTGTTAACAGCTTCTTTTGACCTTACCTCCTTCCTCACAAGGCCTAGACTGCATTCAAGATCACTTCAGCTGCACTCTCAATAGTCCCTCCACACCCTGATTGTTTGGTACTATTCCACAAACACCCTTTGATCCAATCTACATTCTGTACCTACGACATCATTACAAATTTACTACAGAGTTCTCTGCTGAGTGAAGTTGTAGTTCTTACAACATTTGTGTAGATTGGGAGTCAGCAAACTGTAGTCACAGGCCAAATACAGCCTGCTGCCTGGTTTTGTAAAATTTTACTGAAACACAGCCACATTCTTTTGTTTATATATTGTCTATGGCTGCTTTCATGCTGTAACTGGACAATCACAAAAACGTTTGCCAACCTCTGGTATAGACTGATAATGCAAATTTATAGTATTCAAGTTCAGCAAGTTCCTGAGCACCATTCTTTGACAGATACTATTTCAAATTTTTGACAAGCCCTTTAAACTTTTCAACCCAGTCTTGTCCTATAACCTCATATCCTGTTTTACACAGGCCATTTCACTTTGAAATTCCTCAAATTCCCACCCCAGATACGTACATTTATCCATACTCATATCCACCCTTGCTCAGCACATACCCCTGTACTAACCCTGCCCTGGGTTCTCAGGAAGAAGCATACTCAGTAACACTCACATTAATATATCTACACCCATCTATATTCTCTATACGATCCTTACCTTTCCTTTTCTAGACTTTGGTATTATCCTCTTATCCCATTTTTTCCTTTTGTTTTTAAACATCCCGTCCTTATCCTTAGGATATAAACATGCTCAATATCTTCCCATCTAGAAAAAAAAAATCCAGAACCCCTCAACTCAACACTTAATCTTCTAATACTGCTCTCGCTGCCCTTTCCCAGGACCAGTATCTCAAAGAACAAGCCACTCTTGGTGGTTTTCTCCTCCACTTACTTCTCAAGGCATTACCATCAGATATCCACTTTTACCAGTCCAGTGAAAATGTGTGAAAGTTAAACACAGTCATCTAACAATATGTTTTAAGTGTTTTTCAACTTGGGCTTTTCATGATTTTTAAAATTACTGACCACATGCTCCTTGTAATTCTCTTCCCTTGTTATGGGACACTGTCATTTTTTCTTTTCTTTTTCCTCTATAGATAGCAGTGTTCTCAAATTTGTGCATCAAAATCACCCAGAGTGCTTATTAAAACCAGATTGTTGGGTAACTCCATAGTTTCTGATCCAATAGGTCTAGCTGGAGCCTGAGAATCTTATTTCTAACAAGTTTCCAGGTGATGCTCATGCAGCTAGTCCAGGAACCACACTGTGAAAACCAGTGCTTTAAAGGCTTTCTTTAGTGACTTTATATAATGATCTTTTTCCTACAATGGTTGAGGAGAGGGTCGATCCTACGGTTTTCTCTTCTTGCTCTCCATGATATCTCGAGCAATTTAATCCATACCTGTGGTTTTAACTACATTCCCATTCACTGAATTCCTAACTCAGCTTCTAGCCCTCACTTTTCTCTTGACTTTTGGCCAGCATAATGGATACTTGCTACTGGATATGCCAAAATATAATAAAGTTAACTTGTACAAAACAATATTAACTGACATCTAGACCAAAGCAGCAAATTACCCTTCCTTTTTTGGTTAAAGAGACCAACCTCATCTAGTCACTCAAGCCAGAAATCTAAAGCATTCTCAATTCCTTCCTCTCATTTCCCACTGTTAGTCAATAAATCCTGTCACTTCTATTTCCCAATTATTTTTATTCAGCTTTCTACCCTCTCTCTACCAACAGTCTACCCAGGCCCTAGTCATCTCCTACCTGACTATTTTAATGGTCCCAATGGGTCTTCCCCTTCTTAGTTTCCTAATTTGTAAAATGGAAGCACTCAATAAATGGTAACAGCTATTAATTTTTAGAAATAAAAATAGTTTGCTTACACAAAGGCATTAAAATTCTGTGAAAATTTTTTTATTCTTCATAATGAACATTCTATTATTTTCACTACAAATGCCTCAGTTCTTAAAGTGTGCACATATTTCAATGTATCACTCACTATGTTTAATTATCAACTGAGTGCTATGCTTTGAATGAGAAGTGTTACATGACTAAAGTTTCCTAATTTTTAAATTGCTTTTAAATTTAGTGGAATACAGTAATTTCTTAAATTTAAATTGTCAGTAATATTATTCTGTTTTGTTCCATATTAACCCAGTCTTGAAGGGTCCTCACCTCTGCTACTAAAACATTGTGCTGCATCTTCTTTCTAGATTTCATTATCCGCACTATAGCAGCCTCTATCTCATGTTTTCTGTCGTCGTCTACTTTCTGCCTTGTTTCTTTCCTTTCTGGGTCTGATTCGCCTTGTTTGGCAGCAACTAAAATAGAAATAAAGGCATTTATCATAAATGGAATGAAAAAATTTGGCTTATAAACAAAACTAAAATATAACTTAGCATTATCCACAGAGAAAAACCAATTTCAAACTGCATATATACACATACTTATTAATCCAAGTACACAGTCAAAAAGTGTCTCTGTCAATGTTAACTTCAATACTAAATTATTCTTTTCAAAAATTAGGAATTTAATTTTACTGAGAAAGTAAAATCAATTTCACTTCTACAGAATACAATGTAATTCCTTTCCTGAAAGAAAAATGACAGTTGGGTATCTTCAGTAGTAAAACTATCAATAAACAATTTTCATTGCTTATGATTTCCAGAGGTCAACTAATATTTTACCACCATGACTCCAAGTTAAATCTCACCAAAAGTATCTCAGGTGAATATCTGTTAACTTACTAACTCAAATGTAGCTATCATCTCTAATGCCTTTCACAGGGAGGAAAGCACATGTATTGCCAAGATCTGGCCCACTAAATAAATAATTAAAAAGTACCACTAGGATGTCAGTTAAAGGAATTCCGTAACAGTGAAGTAATTCATTTGTATTTCTTGCCAAAATCTCCTTGGATTCTATTATTTAACAATTTCTTGTCATATATTTTATTAATTTTCTTTATGTCACAAACTTAGTATCACAAATTCATTCATACTATATTCCAATCTTTAGGAAAGTCTTACTCTGTTCTTCCCAGTAGTCTTGAAAGCAACCGCTAAGGGAGTCAATACATAAGACCCCTCTCCTACAACTTTGCTCTAATTGAAATAGCAGGGAAAAAAATAACTAATTTTTTTGTTTATTCGGTCATCAAAAGGAGATAGATGTGAAGTTTCTGGAGGTAGAAACTGGAAAATTACAAAGCAGCACATGAGACATTGCTGACTTAGGCATGGACACAGCCACGAGACAGCAGACTGTACAGTTTAGAAGATCATTCTGGTGTGTGTATTCATTCAGCTGTTTCTAATTAGAATCCCTAGGTTAAGAATACTGCATTCAGTGTCATTTCCCAAGTATTAAAATAATCAATATCTTAGCAAAAAAGACGAAAATTATATTAAAATAGCCTACTAAGAATAGTGCTTTTCTTCAAAAAGGTCAATGTCATCAAAAAATAGAGACAGAGGTACTGGTTTAAATTATTATAAATAGAACTTAAGATACATAAAAATTAAATATAATGCAGAAACCTTGATGGAATCCTAGATCCAGACAGTAAGCTATGGTGGAGATTTTTGAGACAACTGAGGACATATAAATGAGTGGTATAAATGAGGATATGGAATTGTTAGTTTTCTTGGGTGTGATATAGCATTACAGTGATATGGGAAAATATCTTATTCTAAGGAGATGTATGCTAAAGTATTCAGGGGAGAACTGTTAAGATGTCTGCAAATTAATTTCAAATGCCATAGCAAACATATATACACATATATGCACATACATACATACACATACTAATGGGGACAGAGAGAAAGAGAAAGCAAGTGTGGCAAAATTTTACTGACTGGTAAACATAGATCATGGCTATACTGATGTCCATTACAGTGTCTTTCGCCTTTTCTATGGATATGAACATACTTAAAAAAGCTGGAGGAAAAAAAAAAAGAAATAATAGTTCAAACGATCCCTTTGGTTCATCTGAATTTGGTTACCTAAGTAAGTGTACTTTTTAAATACCCACTGAAAAAAATAAATGGGAGGATTTTGGTGGTGATATGCACTGAATCACGATGGTTTTTAAAAAACACAGTAAGAGAGCAGAGGCTCACTCCCAGAGCCTAGCACAGAAGGTGCTGCTGCGCGCGTGCCTACATATGATCTACGGGGTTTGAAAGGTGAGTGGTGGTAAAGACTGTCGGCTCTGGAAACTGCTGCAGATTATAATGAATCTAATTCTTTTCAAAAGGCTGTGTTATTTGAGCAATTCTTTTAAATTCTTTGAACTTCTGTTAATTGGCTATACAGTAAAAGTGACATAAATAGGTAAAGGTTTCAGTATTTGATTATGTTACTGAGCCTTTGACAATTTATTAAAACTAACATGGTCACAATGTTTACCACTCAAGAGAAAATTTTGACTTAAAATAGGAGTAAGAGCCAAGATCATCTAAAAACCATCCCCAATTAAGTGCACACTTAACACCAAAGTCTAAAAATGCATGAAGAAAAGACTACTTTTATGGATAACACTAATACCTGATAATATTACTGCTAGACATGGTAGACTCTGGGATTACAAAGACAGTTACATATTTAAGGTAAAAGAGGGTAAAGCTAGGTAATCCAGATAATATATCCCTATATATTTTCCCCATATTGAGAATACAAATGAGCCCTGAATCCAAAACTTTTATCTACCCCAATCAATATAGTAATATGTCTTGCAATGGAAGAGAAAGAAATTTTTTTATTCCACAACACTCACTAGTACAGTTTTATTTTTAATATACAATTATTTCACAAAGACACGGGCCAATCTTGGTTGATGAAGATACAATGATAAAGTTTGTAACTACAGGGCAAAGGAGTCAAAGCTTTAAAACAGATACTAACCTGCTTTACAAAGCATATATATATAAAAAAATTTTATGTGTATAGTTCTATGTACACATCAATATATACTGACAATCAATTGTATATTTAACATTAAAGTAATTTTAAGACAGTATCTTTCATTAATGTATAATATAAACACAATTTTTTAAAAATCAGAAAATTATAGTCATTTTAAAAATGATCTTATTTATCTTAGTTTATAATCTGTGTTTTCTTACACAGATATATTAGTTGTAATGGATACATTAGTACTGGGAAGCTTATCTAATACTGGTTTTGAAACCAGGTAGCAAACTGCATTAGCTTTAAACATCAGCAAGAGTGCTCTTTTCCCCCTTAAATACATAAAAAACATGCATCTTACATTATGTTAAATATACAATGAATAGGATTTTCACTATCAACTTAAAAGTAAGGCTATACTAAAAACTTCACAACGGTGTCATTTCTGTTTTTAAATTAGAGATGAGTTTTAAGACTTTGAAACTTAAAAAATATTTATCAAAACATAAATAGCGGCCAGGCGTGGTAGCTCACGCCTGTAATCCTAGCACTCTGGGAGGCCGAGGCGGCAGGATTATTCAAGATCAGGAGTTCAAGACCAGCCTGAGCAAGAGTGAGACCCCGTCTCTATTAAAAATAGAAAGAAATTAGCTGGACAACTAAAAATATACAGAAAAATTTAGCCAGGCATGGTGGCACATGCCTGTAGTCCCAGCTGCTCGGGAGGCTGAGGCAGGAGGATTGCTTGAGCCCAGGAGTTTGAGGTTGCTGTGAGCTAGGCGTCCACCAGGGCACTCTATAGCCCAGGGAACAGAGCAAGACACTGTCTCAAAAAAAAAAAAAAAAAAATTCAAATAGCTACATTTAAAGATCAAACTTTATATGAGTAAACTCCCAATTCTGAAAAATCTGTAAATCAGCTTTAAAAACAGACTTCCATTGATTAGTTAACTTATCCAGTTAAAAACAATTTTAAGTACTAATATGTTCATAAAATTATTTTCCATTTGTTGAAAAACACGGAAAGTACCTTGTTCACACTGTGAATTACTTTTTTAAATGCTTACTGTACTTGGATATTTTGATACAAACACATATCAATAAAAGCTGCTTATTTTTTACACCTGTCATGTAGCATCAGAAAAGCATTACTTTTTTAAAAGAAATCCAACAGATAAGAATTTTTCTAGAGAAAAAAATACATAATTTTTTAAGAGGAAAAATATAATTCCAGATACCTGTTTGAATCTTGACTCTGTGTAGTTTGGATGTGAACTGATCATTAACTGTAAATATGTGACCATTTTCTATTTCCTTTGACTTGGGTTCTTTTGTAAGAACCCGCTGTGTTGGTTTACCACAGGCGAGGGACTGTAGGGCTCTAACAAGCTCTCTTTCAGGGATATCTGTCTCTTGTTGAATTTCCTGAAATTTCATCAGATTGACATAATTAGACTTTTAAGATAAAAGCAGATTAGTTAATTAGCAAGTAAATTGACCAAGCGGTAGTCACACAGAGGTAATTCCATTACAGAAATAATTTCCAACAAAGAATTCCCTGAATATTATGACATGTCACTAAAATCTCATTATCTGAACAAACTTGAAGAATAAGTAATTCAAATTATAAAATACTAAAAAGACATCTACTTTTTTGTTTCAGAGACAAAATGCCTAGTCTAAAAATGTCATCCAGAAGAGATGATTAGTAACCTGCTTTAGTATTCAGGCAAAAATAAAGTGTTAGCCTACATATAATTGCTAATTTTAGAAATACTTTACAATCTTCCATCCAAGTTTATCCACACTACTCTTTTGTTTAGTAATTCTGTCATAGAAAAAAGCAAAGTAAGCCTGAGCTTAGGCCTTCCATCAAACAATCAAAATTCACAATCCAAGCTGACTATATATACTGCCTGTATGACCAAATGAAAAAAGAAAGATTAAATGCCTGGAAATGAACACCAGACAATGAAAATCAGTAAGAAATATGTTTTGATTTTTGCTGTACATTATGGTATGAATAAAATACAATACTGGGGGGAAAAAGCAGCTGGAAAAAAATGCTGTATAAATTTTAGTTCATTTTTCTCTTATGTCAATGGGACAGCAAGACAATTGTTCACTTGTATGATTTAGTCCTTGTAGGTCTATAGGGATGTACAATTAAGTAAAAGTCTCTATACTAGGACCTATTGCTTTGATGTCCTGCATAAAGTTGCTTCTTTCTCAAAAGCAGCTCAGGAAGAGTGGGCACGAAGACAGTGATATTTAGATTATCTGAATAACTGATTTGGAGAGCCATTCTTCCAACAGTACAAGAGTCTCCTCGAACAAGTGTCGGTTTTTCCAAAGGATCGTCAAATACATGAGGATTCAGAAAAAAGTGAATTTTGGTGATTAAATTAGGCATATTCCTTTCTTCAAATAATCGCTGGTTACGTGTCTCCCTACTTAAGACATTTCAAATGGTATAAATGTTAATAATCCCAGAAAATTAAATAGGTGCTATTAATTATTTGAATGGAGATGGTAATTATTATGCACATGCTAAAAGTGACTTATTTATATATTTTAATTACACTGCTTAATTACATTCAAAGAATTAGAAGTACCTTCTTAAGTGATATTTTAAACTTACAGATCATTCCTAGAAGGAACTACTACAATTCAATATGTACCTTCTATGTCTTTTCCTATTCATTTATATATATACACACACGAAAATACAAATACACATAGGAATGTACATGAACACATCCTCTTATACACTAACATTAATGTAAACACAAATGAGGTCATAACATATGAATTTCTCTATTAATTTCTTCAGACTTTCCTTGTTAAGGAGATTAGGGAATTGTATAGTACTTTAATAGGATATAGACGGAGATTCAGATTGTATCCAATTTTCTGTTGGTACGTGCATTTCTGTCTTTGAGCACAAAAGCCAGTTTTCTCAAGCAAATTTCTAGAAATGCATTTGCTTCCTCAAAGTTATAAATATTTTATGTTTGACAGATACTGACAAATTACCTTTCAAATTTCTTACAATTTAACCTCACAATAACAGTATGTAAGTATCTACTCCCCTACACCCCCAATACCAGATTTTCTTTTTCTTTTGCCTATTGGGCTAAAAGTGATATCTCATTATTTTCATTTGTACTTCCCATGACCACTAGGAGGGAAAACCCCATCTTTTTATATTTACAGGTT